GATGCCTACTACTACTACTATTCTCTTACGACATTAATTTGGACTAAACCTAGTTGGGCTTAAGTCCTAACTGTTATCAGTTCTGTTTTCAACAAAATGGGTTCCATTAATTATTTGACATCCTGGAGTCTTATTACTGTTGGATGTACTTTGAAAAAAGTGTTTTTCAAAGTGAGAGAAGTGTTTTCTCAGAGTCCAATATTAGAGTCCGAATTCTTTAGCTGGTGAAGTGAGTGAGTCTCACGACGCCCAGTATTCTTTCTGAAGGTGGCCTGACACAGACGGTGTCGTGGTCTGTGTTCGCCATTGTAGTAGTGAGTGCAAGGGTTAATGAAACTGTTCTCGGTCTAGTAATGCATTCATATTATGGAAATGAAAGTTTATTAACAGTAAACAAATCCACAAGGGCGGTGATGAGGGTTCGAACCAATGTCCGAGAGGATCCCAGACGCGCCTCAATCGACTGTGCCATACTATACAATTACTTTATTAACAGTAATTAATGTAGCATCATCAATATATGTTTTAAGGTTTAAAGATTTGAAAACTGATAAGTTAATAACACTTTGTATCATATGTTGTGTGCAGTGCTTGTCCTATTTGAAACTTTATATTCATTAATGTAACGTTCATGAACATTAATTGAAGCACCTGCTAACCATTTTATTTTCACCAAGAGAGAAAAATAACCTATAATAAAACAATATTTAAATATACTTATCAGTTTTAATACTTTTATTCACTGAAATATATTAATGATAAGACAGGAGTAAGTGTTTAAATGATCATTTCAATTTCTTTCTTTATTATGCACCCCATACCCACCCCGTGGGCGGTGGTGGAAAGGATTATAAAACCACATAATCGGTTCTGGAACTCATCCCCCTAGTTCGTTCAGCTAAGCGAGTAACAATCTTTTGACACTGGTTACACAATTATTAATGTTATATATACACGTACACACACACACACACCCACACACACCCACCAACACACACACACCCACACACACACACCCACCTACACACACACACACACACACACACACACACACACACACACACACACACACACACACACACACACACACACACACACACACACACACACACACACACACACACACACACCATGGATACTAAAGGAAGGTGCAGAAGCACTAAGTGTGCCACTCTCTATGGTGTATAACAGGTCACTGGAAACAGGAGACTTACCAGAAAGTTGGAAGACAGCTAACGTGGTCCCAATATACAAAAAAGGTGACAGGCAAGAGGCACTGAATTACAGGCCAGTTTCCTTAACTTGTATACCATGCAAGGTGCAAGGTGCTGGAGAAGATCGTGAGGAAAAGGCTCGTAGAGCATCTGGAGGGAAATAACTTTGTAACGCACCACCAACATGGGTTCAGAGATGGTAAATCGTGCCTCACAGGTTTAATAGAATTTTATGACCAGGCAACGAAAATTAGGCAGGAAAGAGAAGGGTGGGCCGACTGCATTTTCCTGGATTGCCAAAAAGCCTTTGACACAGTACCCCATAAAAGGCTGTTAAAAAAGTTGGAGCAACAGGCAGGAGTAAAAGGGAAGGTGCTCCAGTGGATAAGGGAGTACTTAAGCAACAGGAAACAGCGAGTAACGGTGAGGGGAAAGACATCAGAGTAGCGAGATGTCACCAGCGGAGTCCCACAGGGCTCAGTACTTGGACCCATCCTGTTTCTAATATATGTGAACGATCTTCCAGAGGGTATAGACTCATTCCTCTCGATGTTTGCTGATGATGCAAAAATTATGAGAAGAATCAAGACGGATGAAGATAGACAGAGACTACAGGATGACCTGGATAAACTGGAGGAATGGTCTAGAAAATGGCTGCTGAAGTTCAACTCTGGAAAGTGTAAGGTGATGAAATTAGGAGAAGGGAGCAGGAGGCTGAACACAAGGTATCATCTGGGAGGGGAAATCCTGCTAGAATCAAATAGAGAGAAGGATCTGGGGGTTGATATCACACCGAACCTGTCCCCAGAGGCCCACATCAAAAGAATATCATCAGCGGCATATGCTAGACTGGCCAACATAAGAACTGCCTTCAGAAACTTGTGTAAGGAATCTTTCAGAACCCTGTATACCACTTATGTAAGACCAATCCTGGAGTATGCAGCTCCAGCATGGAGTCCATACCTAGTTAAACACAAGACAAAGTTAGAGAAGATTCAGCGGTATGCCACCAGGCTCGTCCCGGAACTGAGAGGATTGAGCTACGAGGAAAGGCTAAAGGAGCTGAACCTCACATCCCTGGAAAACAGAAGAGTAAGGTGAGACATGATAACCACCTACAAAATTCTCAGGGGAATTGACAGGGTGGACAAAGACAAACTCTTCAGCACGGGTGGGACACGAACAAGGGGACACAGGTGGAAACTTAGTACCCAGATGAGCCACAGAGACGTTAGAAAGAATTTTTTCAGTGTCAGAGTAGTTAATAAATGGAATGCACTAGGAAGTGATGTGGTGGAGGCTGACTCCATACACAGTTTCAAATGTAGATATGATAGAGCCCAGTAGGCTCAGGAATCTGTACACCAGTTGATTGACAGTTGAGAGGCGGGACCAAAGAGCCAAAGCTCAACCCCCGCAAGCACAATTAGGTGAGTACAATTAGGTGAGTACACATATATATATATATATATATATATATGTATATATATATATATATATATATATATATATATATATATATATATATATATATATATATATATATATATATGTGTGTGTGTGTGTGTGTGTCTGTGTGTGTGTGTGTGCAAACAAGCCTGTCTGGTTCCCAGGCATGTATGCAACTGAAAACTCACACCCCAGAAGTGACTTGAACCCATACTATGCATCTGGTGTACAGGACACCTTAACCACTCGACCATCACGACAGGACAAAAGATGATGGTAGCCGAGGCTATTTCCCCATCATCCCGCCGGCACTCTGATGGAAATCTTAGGCATAGTATTTTATCAAATCCCCTCATTCTTTGGGGCACACGTGAATAACACAAATACGAACAAGCCTGAATGGTCTCCAGGCATATATGCAACTGAAAACTCACATCCCAGAAGTGACTCGAACCCATTCGATTCAATTCCGAGACAAATATGGGAAGGAATCCACAGGAGACAAACTCTGACTCCATCATTAATTATTTCATTATATCTGTGTCTAGCTGCAGAGATAAACACGTTACTGTTATGCCTTGGGGAGCTGAGGGCAGTCAATGATGACAAGGAGTCACTTACAACTAGCCTGTCAACTTATGATTCATATATGCGCTCGAGTGCTGGATTAAGGCAAACAATTGTTTGAAGAGTGGAGGCCCATCTATTTATACGCGCTCCACACTCATAGGAGAAGGAACCATCTCTCACTCTCACATTGTCACAACAACTGCACCATAGGACTGGTGCAAGGAGCCATCTGTGTAAATAATCAGGGAAAGGGACCGCTCTCTGAACAAAGGATTAATTTGGCTTAAAGCATTGCACTTTGCTTCTTGTCGAAGCAAGGCTGGTTCTTTAATCAGCTTCCTGGGTGGAAAAGGGTGGGGGGGGGGGGGGCTGTAATGTAATTTGGAAAGGAGTGATCTCCCATGGGGCCGGGAAGTGTCGTTGTTGTCTCTCATGGTAGGGGTGATGAATATTATACATTTTGAGAACAGTGGCAGTTTTGGTAATTCATTTGGAGCGATACTGACCTTCAAGAAAGAAGGTTAGGTTTGCTTCAATGCAGGAGTTAGGGTGGGTTAGCCTAGGTATCTTGATACCAATTAAAGCATTAATTTCAGTGATGCTACCACTTACATATAAACTATTTAGTTCCTTCCTCATATTTGGTAATTTGTACGGGGGCATTCGAGTATAATCCTCATGGCTTCGTTTTGCATCTTTTCCTGCCCTCCAACCATTCTCTCAGGCATTAGCGAAGGCATGGGTGCAGCGTAATCGATCAGAGATCTAATATATGAGAGATACATCATTTTGCCAATTCTCACATTTGCGCCATAGCGTGACTGGTAGCCTGCCACAGCCTTGAGAGCACGAAGCCTCTCTCTACATTGACGACCCAGTCTGGTTACAACATTGCGGTATAGTGGAACCTCAAGACCAAAATATTTGTATCTGATTACATAGTCGAGCAGAGAACCATCATGCAGCTGCATCTTGCGAACAGTCCCACCTCACCTGGGTGGGCGTCGGTTCAGGATCTTTGTTTTCTCTACTGAGATGACTAAGCCTAGTTCCTGACATGTGTGCAATACAGAGTTCGGAACATTTTGGGTGTTGGTATACCCATTGGTGTGGATCTCGGAACATTTTGGGTGTTGGTATACCCATTGGTGTGGATCTCGGAACATTTTGGGTGTTGGTATACCCATTGGTGTGGATCAGTATATCATCCGCATAGCTAATGATGTGTTCGCTAGTCCTCCTTGTTACTGAGTTTAGAAGTGCACTGAATAACACATTGAACAGAGTAGGACTGAGGACACCTCTCTATAGAGTGCCAAGTTCAAAATCTCTCGTTACACTCCTATGCCCTTGGAACAGTACAGATGACTTCCTGTTGGATAGATATCCTCTTATTCACCGTAGTAGACATCCGCCAACATTCATTTTAGCAAGCTCGCTCAGAATTGTGTCTGTTAGCAATGTCAAAGGCTGACTTAAGATCTAGCAAAGTGGGGGTATGACCTATCAGTATGCAGGGTGAGGAAGGCGGTAATACAGTGATGTACACTTAGACAACCGTCTATGCACATTTTGTAGTAATATTTAGTTAAGGCTTTTATGAGTGTTGCCATATATGCGAGGAAAAGCGTTTGAAGTGAAACTTTCCTAATTCATACGCTGAATATTATTTATTTTTACTGCAGATATTCTCTCTCTCGCAGAGAGAGAGAGAGAGAGAGTAGTAAATACAAAACAATTAGCAGATACAATGAATTCTTTATGATGTCAATGGATGGCATGAAGCGATGGTCCCAGCTGGGGAACACCGGCGCTGAAGACTTCCAGCCAAAACATGAGTAAACTGACAGCAACTCCGCCCCCAAGAACCACGAACATTCCCTGAAAGACTAGACACATAAGACACAGAATACGATGGTAATATAAAGGAATGTCACGCAGCTAATGACTAAGATAATTGTATGTGTTATGATTAAGTGTGACACTTGAGGCTAGTGAACCTCTGGAGAAGACAGTAGCTTTCAGGACTAAAGATGAAGGACACTTTGGTCTTTAATATAGTCAACGACAGAAATAAGCATTTTGTGCATTTATACCAAAATGAGGAATTAATCCCTCGGTAAAAAATCTGGAATATATACTTTTGTTTCACTACAAAGTAACTGATTCATTACCCACAGATTTGCCAGTGAGAGAGAGGAGCGGACAGTGAACTTCTTCGGGAGATTGAGGCACCTTGTGGCATTGGGGATGTTCGTCGTGAACCATCGCGGGAACAACCCGGACTCCGCCAGTGCTATAATCCTGAACGTCATAAGGAGGAACACGTTAACACAATATTCTTAATGAGCTCAAATTATAAAAGAGAAAATTGTCATATATATATATATATATATATATATATATATATATATATATATATATATATATATATATATATATATATATATATATATGGCAGCATCAAACATATGCTGAACCCGGTGCTTGGAGATGATGCACAGGACCTTCTAGTGGAACTTACTAGATTCTCCAACATGTGTTTGGCTGGCGGCATCCCTGAGGACATAAGGCCTGTCTTTTATGGAGCAGCACTCTGTGCTATAAAGAAGAAGGATAGGGACATCAGGCCCATTGCCGTTGGCAACACCCTCCGACGCCTCGTAGCTAAGGCTGCAGTCAGATCTATCAGCCAGGAAGCAGCCACCTTGCTGAAACCTCATCAGCTCGGGTTTGGGATTCCCCTAGGTTGTGAAGCTGCAGCACATGCAGCGCGGGCTTACATTGCTGATCTCCCGGACCATAAGGCACTAGTAAAGCTTGACTTCAAAAATGCTTTCAATCAAGTCAGACGAGACGCTGTCCTCAGGGCTGTACACAACCATTTACGTCCCCTTTATCCATTCATCCGATTGTGCTACAGTAGGGACTCTAAGCTTCTTTTTGGGGAGCATGAAATAAACTCCGGTGAAGGTGTCCAACATGGTGACCCCTTAGCCCCCCTCCTTTTCTGCCTAGCTATCAAAGAGGTCACTGATAGTCTGACAAGCGAGCTAAACATCTGGTACCTGGATGATGGCACTGTAGCTGGAACCCCGGAAACCATTTTGGAGGATATAAGGAAAATCCAGGAGCAGGGAGCAGCCTTAAGCCTCATTCTCAATGCATCCAAATGTGAAATAATCTCCCGCAACCCAGACATCACTAGGCAAATACAAAATGTTCTTCCAGACATTCTCGTTGTCGAGCCACCGGACTGCACTCTCTTGGGTGCCCCCATTGGATCACGAGCAATCGAGGAGGTCCTGGCTGCAAGAATCACTGATCTAAAGAGAATGCTGGACAGGATTGACAAGATTGATGCCCATGATGCTCTTTTTCTCCTCACAAGATGCCTGTCTCTCCTTAAGATGACCTACTTTCTGAGATGTTCTCCATCCTACAGCAGCCCTAAGTTAAATGTATATGACACCTTTCTGAGATCCATGCTGGTGAAAGTCCTGAACCTGCCATTGGACGACTCTCAGTGGAAGCAAGCAACCCTTCCCGTAAGACTCGGCGGCCTTGGTGTCCGCACAGCCTCCCAAATTGCTCTACCAGCCTTCCTTTCCTCCTCCCATGCATCGCACGACCTCGTCAGAGATATCTTACCTGCAACCCTGAGAGATTCAGCAGGAATACACGATCCTGCTTTCACTGAATGTTCAAATCAGTGGGATGTTCTTGCAGCCCCAGCAACCATTATAGAGCCAACAAAACAACACAAACAGTCCGGCTGGGACCACCCTCTAGTGAAAAAGTAGCTGATGCCATGCTCAGCGTCGCAACATCAGACAAGGAGAAAGCCCGCCTCAGAGCAGTGCGTGCCCCCCATGCAGGAGACTTCCTCCTGGCAGTACCCATGTCAGCAATGGGCACGCGCCTAGATCCAGAATCCCTTCGTGTAGCAGTGGCCCTCTGCCTTGGTGCCCCAATTCACACTGAATACAAGTCTATTTGCAACAGGGTGGAAGCAGACCAATACGGACTGCATGGGTTGCATTGCAGAAGCACAAAGGGCTGGCATGCAAGACACAACGAGGTCAATGACATCATCAAGAGAAGCCTCGTCTCAGCTAGGTGCCCAGCGGAGAGAGAACCTCGCATCCTAGGAGTCCAAAACCCGGATTTCCCCGCACTTCGCCCTGATGGCATCACCCTATACTCATGGAAGGAGGGTAGACAGTTGGTGTGGGACTACACATGTGTATCCACCCTGGCTGACACCTATGTACAATTCGGAGCTCATCAAGCAGGTGGGGCGGCCAACCACAGGGAAACAGCAAAATCACTCAAGTACAGGCAACTGGAAGGTCAATACCTCTTTGTTCCCATAGCATCTGAGACGCATGGCCCCTGGGGCAAGAGTGCCTTGGGATTTCTCAAGGAATTGGGTTCCAAGCTCATTGACGTCACCAGAGACTCAAGGGCTTCCAGTTTTTTGTTTCAGCGCCTCAGTGTGGCGATCCAGAGGGGAAATGCTTGCTGCGTCCTCGGTTCCTGTCAGGAAGCGGAGGAGCTTCAAGAGATCCATAACCTTTAGGCATTTGTCTTGTATGTTTTGTAACCTTTAAATACACAATAAAGCAAAAAAAAAAAATGAATAAATATATATATATATATATATATATATATATATATATATATATATATATATATATATATATATATATATATATATATATATATATATATATATATATATATATATATATATATATATTCTAACACTAAATTTTTGAACAACTTTTGACCAACACAAGACAGAACACGGAACAATGGGTATTAATTGGATAAATGAGAGGGAAGAATGCCAGTAACTGCAAAGGGCCTATTGGCCCATACTTCCTCTTGATGCTTCTATATTGGTACGAAGTCTTGAAGTGGGTAGAACATAGTTGTGCATTAATTGGCTGTTGATTGCTGGTTTTACTTTTTGATGGCTAGTGCGTCGCAGGTGTCAAGCCACCTGCTATCGCTGTATCTATGGATGATTTCTGTGTTGTTTGTTAAGACTTCTCTGGTGATGGTCTGGTTGTGGGAAGAGATTATATGTTCCTTAATGGAGCCCTGTTGCTTATGCATTGTTAATCGCCTGGAAAGAGATGTTGTCTTGCCTATGTACTGAGTTCATTGGGGCTTACAGTCGCCAAGTGGGCATTTGAAGGCAGAGACGACGTTGGTCTCTTTTTAAGGCATTCTGCTTTGTGTCTGGAGAGTTTTTCATGAGTAGGTTGGCCGTTTTTTTGGTTTTATAGTAAATCATCATTTGTATCTTCTGACTTTTGTCTGTAGGGATAACGTTCCTATTAACAATATCTTTAAGGACCCTTTCCTCTGTTTTATGAGCTGTGGAAAAGAAGTTCCTGTAAAATAGTCTAATAGGGAGTAAAGGTGATATATATATATATATATATATATATATATATATATATATATATATATATATATATATATATATATATATATATATAGCTAAAAATCCCTCGTCCTAAAGATGGCTACTTTAACCTGACTTCTTATGATCTTACCCAGGACCAACGAGACCTCTTATATCTTGGTCTAAATTGTCAATTCTTATCTAAACCAAAGATATATATATATATATATATATATATATATATATATATATATATATATATATATATATATATATATATATATATATATATATATATATAAAATTATTAATTTAATTTAATTAATTTATTTAATTATTTATTTATTTTAAGATTTAATTATAATATATATATATTATATATTTATATTTATATATAATTATATATATATAATATATTTTATTTAATTTTTAAGATTTAATTATATATATATATATATATATATATATATATATATATATATATATATATATATATATATATATATAAATATATATGTCGTACCTAGTAGCCAGAACGCACTTCTCAGCCTACTATGCAAGGCCCGATTTGCCTAATAAGCCAAGTTTTCATGAATTAATTGTTTTTCGACTACCTAACCTACCTAACCTAACCTAACCTAATTTTTTCGGCTACCTAACCAAACCTAACCTATAAAGATAGGTTAGGTTAGGTTAGGTAGGGTTGGTTAGGTTCGGTCATATATTTACGTTAATTTTAACTCCAATAAAAAAAATTGACCTCATACATAATGAAATGGGTAGCTTTATCATTTCATGAGAAAAAAATTAGAATAAATATATTAATTCAGGAAAACTTGGCTTATTAGGCAAATCGGGCCTTGAATAGTAGGCCAAAAAGTGAGTTCTGGCTACTAGGTACGACATATATATATATATATATATATATATATATATATATATATATATATATATATATATATATATGCATATATATATATATATATATATATATATATATATATATATATATATATATATATATATATATATATATATATATATATATATATATATATATATATATATATATATATATATATATTCATATTTTTTACAAAATGTAAATTTTGACACAATGTTGCATTCGAATAGGCTTGTGTTTTTATATACCTACTATATACATACCTCACCTGTGACAGGAAAAACATTTTTTTTTTTAAATAGCGCCATCTGTAAGACGTAAGAGCAACACACTGTAATTTCCAAAAGTTCTTCACCGATTGCTTTGAAATTTTGACACATTGTTCCATTCGAATACGCACATGTTTCTATATACATACTATATAGATGCCACAAATGTTAAATTTAAAAACATACTTAAAAAAAAACAGGGCCATCTGTTGCACGCAAGAGCAACACACTCTTTACGAAATATGTTACGATTCCATTTCAATGTTTCTGATTGTATTGATAAATTAAATATTCATAGATTTTGGGTTATTTTCATTTTGATTTAATTATTTTGTGTGACATTGCATTGGACTTGAGCTGTGTTATTTACGATACCGTTCATTTCGTGAATATAGTTTATTCTTTGTTATTTTTTCATTGTTTTCCATTTCATTTTTGTTTTCCATTTCATTTTTTAAACTGTTCTTATTTGTCAGTGATGGGATCATCAGATCATTTGATGTTCCCAATTTCCTGATGGGAACATCAGATAATTTGGGAATGCATCGGGCGAGGGAGTGGGGATTGGTGGGGAGAACGACTGAACAGGATTGGGGATGTTGGGGAGGATGAGGGGACAGGAAAGGGGGTAATAGTGGGGTGGACGAAGGAGCAGGAAAGGAGGCAATAGTGGGGAGGACGAGGGAGTGGGGAATGGTGGGGAGGACCAGGG